CAAACTTAGGTTGTTAACCATCCAGAAGAAAAGCTTATTGTTATTATCAAACGATTTAGGCTATCAAGCTTAGCCTCACTATCTCACTGCATTTCAAACATCTTAGGCATAATAAGGAACAGGTATTTTTCATCAAGTATTGATATGTTGAACTTTAAGTCCAGAATTTCTTATGTAGTGAAAGGAGGAGAAGCCCAAGTTCACAGCTTCCTGTGGTCCTTAGCCTCCATACCAAAAGAAAATGAGGGTTCAACAGTGTGAGACAGGAGATTCTTGGACGAGAAGCTCATCTGAGAGGCAACTGAGTGGCTTCACCTCAGCACTTGAAGCTCTGTTCTGAAGGGCCAAGGAAGGGAACCTTACAGAACCAGAGAGGTAGATGTTGGGAAATTGTCTCAGGAGACAGACACAGTGAGTAGAGACCTTGCCCCTTGGCTCACTGTGAGACCTTGGGGCAGCCTGGTGTTCTGGGCAGAGCAGCCACCTAACCAAGACCTAGATCAGCTGTGAGTCACACCTTCTGCCTGCCTGTGAGGATACTGGGCAAGGAAGGATGCTGGTGGGCTGGGGACCTGGTTCAGATCCAGTAAGTTGTTAGCAGAAGGCCTTCCTGCATCAGCAGGAAGTTTGAGGCTCAAACTCAGGCCATTGTGTTTGCCAGACAGGTGTTTCTGCCGCTGAGCTATCTCCCTAGCCCCTAACGACCAGGTTTGAGAAAGCAGATCCTAGAGAAAACTGCAGGCCATATGGGGACTTCAGTGTGATCCTAGAAGGCTAGAGAACCCTCACTTTCCCTTCCTCAGTGCCTGGTAATCCAAACAAGGCCATATCACAGAGCCCTTCAACCTCCCGGCCTCACAGCTTAAGAGTACCTTGTGAAACCCGGGCCTGACCCCAAATGCATGGCTTCAAGCTCTTCAGAGGCCTCTACTGCTCTCAGGACAAGACCCTAGGAGCCTCTGTAAAGCACAACTCCTTACCAATCTCAATCGCTCAGCCCATCCAGCTGGCCCTGGCTATCGGGAAGGCTTTTACAAGTGCCATTCTTCCCACCAGAACTCCTCCACGGCGGGCTGCTTCGGCACCGCTATGCTAGAAGCCCTCAAAGCTGGGACCCTCGGTGGCCAGGACAGCAGGCAGTAGCACAACAGCTGAGAGGAGTGCAGTCCGTGTTCAGGCTGGGGGTGGGCAGCCCCGCGCGATCAAGGGAGCTTCAGGTGGAAACTCAGCCTCCCACTGTCGTAGTCTGATAGCTCGAGTGTCCTGTATCAGTCGTAACCCCAGTCCGGGGTGAGAGATGAAAACAGACCTCAGGTTCACCCACTGCTTGGCCTCAGATGGTGCACGAGGACAAAATGCCGAGGACGGTGGCCTCCTCCTCCTTCTCCGTGGGACTGTGGACGGAGAAAGCAACGGTGCATGCGTTCCAGAGGCGGGACTGAGCCTCACTTCGAGGTCTTTGCGACAAGGACGGAAATATCAACATACTGCGATGGAGTTTCGCCTCTAAAATCTCGAGGACCAGGCGGCAGGATGACGCAGTGAGCAGAGCTAACCCCTTAGGAGCCTCCACCAAGGGGCGGGGGAGAAGAGCCTCATTCTGGATGACGCAGGGGGCGGGGTAGGGCGGACGCAGAGCACGTCGCGCCCCTGTCTGACGTAGGGGGACTGACTGAGTCTTGATAAGGACAGCGCAGGGGGCGGGGCACGCCGCGGCGCTCTCAAGACTGACGTAGGGGGGCGGGGCGCGCGTCGCGGCGGCCGCTGGCGGGCCAACGGCTCCATGGAGCGCTACGCCAGCGCCCTGGAGGAGTCAGCGGATGGCACCCGACAGCAAGAGCGGCACTACCAGCTGTTGTCGGCCTTGCAGAGCCTGGTGAAGGAACTTCCCAGGTGTGCTGGCGCGGGGGCGGGCGCGGGCTCGGGCTGGGCCTGGCGGTACCGGGTAGGGCAGGGCGGGGGCGGAGGCGGCCGCGTCCTACCCCGGCTCACCGCGAGCCTCTGCCCGCAGTTCTTTCCAGCAGCGCCTGTCCTACACCACACTCAGTGACCTGGCGCTGGCGCTTCTCGACGGCACTGTGTTCGAGATTGTTCAGGGACTGCTGGAGATCCAGCACCTCACCGAGAAGAGCCTGTACAATCAGCGCCTGCGGCTGCAGAACGAGCACCGAGGTGCGCAGGGGCGGCGGGAAAGTGCAAGTTGCTCCTAGGGGTCAACCCTTGTTTTCTATGCGGTCGGGCCCTTCCCTGAGCGCCCCTCGCAAGAGAATACCCAAATGGACGAAATTAAGGGTACAGCATGTACGATGGGGCCCTTTTTACTTTTTGGTGACCAGTGAGTCGACCATTGCTCTCTCCTTAGCGTGACACCCAGAAACCCCGGCTTAGGCTTCTCTGTCCCCCACCGCCTACTAGGAAGGAAGGCCCAAACGTTTCGAGCTTGGCCCGCCCACAGGCGCACCCTCGTGGAGGCCGCTGACCTCCAGTACCCGTCGTGGATGAATGTTTTGCTGCTGTGATGACCCTTAAGGGTCATCTCTCTCTCAGCATCGCAGACACCACCCCAGCTGAGCTGGGAATTCCTGGGTCCTCTTCCTTGCAGCATCCCCAGTGGCCCTGAGGACTTCTCACTTGAGCCCCAGGCTTGGTCCTGCCCATGTGTACCCACTGGGGGAGGGGCTGGGCGCTCCTTTCTGTAACCTGTACTAGGCAGTTACCTCTGCACCATCAGATTTCTACCTTTACTATTTTATTTTCTCCTTGCTTTTTGTTGTTGGTATTGTTCTGTTTTGTTTGTGTGCTGCTGGGGACTTAAGCTAAGACTTCTTGCATATTGGGCAAACATTCTACCACTGAACTAACCCCAACCCTTTTTTTTTTAAGTTTTGATACAGGGTCTCAGAAAGTGGTCCATGCTGGGGTTGCATTTTTTTAATTTCCCGCCTCAGCCTCCCAAGTAGCTATGATTATGGGCCTTTGCCACCACGCCCACCTTCCCCAGTTTTTTCTTATAGAGTGAGAACAGCTGAAAGACCATCCTTATGCTCTTCACCTAGATTCAGTAATAAATATCTTGCTATAGTTTTTATATATGATGCTATAGCACTTCACCAGGACTCTTCACTAGAGGTCCTCAGTAGCTTTTTTTTTTAATTTTTTTTTTATTATTATTTATTTGTGTGTGTGTGTGTGTGTGTGTGTGTGTGTGTGTGTCCAGCTCAGCCCACCAGGGGGCGGGGCTGGCTGGCATGTGGTGCTGGGGGATTGAACCGCGGTCCCTGTGCTTTGCTAAGCTTGTTCTAAGTAGGTGCTTTAGACCACTGAGCCATCTCACCAGTCCCAGTAGCTTTTTTTTGGTACTAAGAATCAAACTCAGGACCTTGCACTTGCCAGGCACTTGTTCCACTGAGCTATCCCCTCCCCCCTTTTTTGGTGTAAGGAATTAAACTCACAACCTCACGCTTGCCAGGCAGATGCTGTGTAGCCAAGCTGTATCCCCAGCTTGTCAGTATTCTTCACAACCAAGATTTCAGCCCAACACAGTTTAATATTTTTCTATTGGAAAAGGATGTTGGATTTTGTCAAATCTTGTGTGTCTATGAAGATGATCATGTGATTTTTCTGTTATAGTGAGTTTCTTGACATGTGAATTCCTGGGATAAATTACATCCTGGAGATAAATCCCAGTTATGATGTATTATCCTTTATATATATATTGGATTTGATTTGCTAAAATCCTATTAAGAATCTTTGCTTCTATATTTGCGGCAGACATTGGTATATAGTTTTCTTGTAATATTTTTGTTTAGGTATAAGGATACTGCTGGTCTTATAGGACATTTGAGAAGTGTTTTCAGTTTCTAGATGCTCATATAAAATTAGTACTTCCTCTCTGAATGTTTGGGCAGTTGTCTTTATAGACATTTTGATTGAGATAGAATATGCCTATGGTCCACAAATCTGAAATGCACAGCTTGTTTTTCAAGCTCAAACTGTTGTGTTTTGCCCAGAAGGACCTTTAGGCTTGTCCCTTGTCTACCAGCATTTCTTGCTTTCTGGTCATGAAGGTGTTCAGGCTCATCTCATGCTTTCCATGCTTTAGTCCTGGAATAGGCCATTTCTCCACAGAGCCCTTTCAGCAGAGCATCTTTTTGGTATCTTTCTGAACCTGTTGCTAATTGTCCCCAAGAGATTTGGGCCATGCTCTGCACAGCTGGCCATGGGTGGGCCTGTGCTGGCTTTCTGCTTTCCCTTTGTCTGACTTAGCAGGGGCTGACTGGCTTTCCTTGGTCCTTTACTAAGACCAGACCCCTTCTGAGCAGGCAGCCAGCATGGCTTTCTCTGTCATTTTTGGTTGCTTATCCAGTGGATCCTGGGATTAGATTTGGGACTTGTAGCAGTGTTTGATGAATGGAGTGAATGAGGTGGCATTCCCTGCGTTTGTCTCTTGCCTGCATCCTGTTTGTACCTATGAAGTTTCTGGTTTTCTAACTAGGAATCTTTCTTGCCCTTGTGTTTATGGAGCTGTCTTGAGCATGGCTCTTGGTTTCACACACACTTACTGTGATAAATGCCATCATCAAGGGGGCCAGGCTACCTGCTGTGGAGCCTCAAGCACCCTCCTGAGAAGAGCTGTCATGTGAGGTCTTCTAGTAATAGTGCTGGTTTTGAGTTTTCTTATGGCATGCTATCAACCTCTCCCTCCTGGGGCAGAATAGCCTTTGATGCTTAAAGCAGTCAGGTTTAGGGCATCAGCTGTGTAGTGTTGCATATTGTTTGGTGATGGTGCTTTCTCTTCCTGTGCTGCTAGGGCAGGCACTTAGAGGTGAGGTGTGCTCTAGGCCCCTCCTTACTTTCCTTTCCCCATTGCCTGCTGTTGCTGATCGCTCTTTGCTCTTTTCTGGCTCTCCCCCCTCCTAGTGCTCAGGCAGGCTCTGCGGCAGAAGCACCTGGAGGCCCAGCAGGCCTGCCGGCCCCACAACCTGCCCGTGCTCCAGGCCGCTCAGCAGCGCGAGCTGGAGGTAGGGGTCAAGGGTGAGATCGCTGGACTTGGCTCCTCCCGTGGGCACCACCTGGCTCTGCAGAGGGGCCTTAGGGTGGCTTGAGAACCTGTGACTAGCTGGGCATGGTGGCACATACTTGTAATTCCAGCTCTTGGGAGGCTGAGGCAGGAGGATTGCTTTGAGTTCCAGGCCATCCTAGGCTACATAGTGAGCTTAAGGCCAGCCTGAACTACAGAGCAAAACCCTGCCTCAAAACAACAACAACAAAAAAACATGATGGAGTCCAAGCATATGGCTTCTCCCTCTAGGGATAGGGTGTATGAAGGCTGGCTGGAGAGTAAAGGCCCATTAGTTACAGGTGCTCTCATTTCTTGAAACAGCAGCTCCTTGAAGGATGAGGTGTGCACAGAGAAGATGCTGAGGAGGAGAATTACATACCTCAGGCTTGCATACCAGTGGAGTGACAGGGCCATCCAGGAAAAGGTCTATCCTTCTAGGGAGCTTGCAGTGAACTGGAGACTCAAATGCAAAGCCATGGAGGGTTTGGGTGCCCTGTGCCAGATCCCAAGGCAGCCTCTAACTGGGGATTTTGGGGAAGCCTTTTGGAGCCCCCTTGCATAGCTTAGTGAAGCACAGAATGAAGAAACCTGGGTTGGGCAAGGATGCATAGTTCTAGTACGTGCCACTGGGGATGGACAAGGTAGCTAGGATGTGGCAGGCCAGAGGGTGTGTCTGAGGCACAGATGGGTGGGCACTGAGCCTGGAGCCACCCTCATTCCCTGCCTTTGGCAGGCAGTAGAACATCGGATCCGGGAGGAACAGCAGGCAATGGATCGCAAGATCGTCCTGGAGCTCGACCGGAAGGTGGCTGACCAGCAGAGTACACTCGAGAAGGCAGGGGTAGCTGGCTTCTATGTGACCACCAATCCACAGGTCAGCACCTGGGCCTGCCCTACCCACAGCTCATGTGTCACTGTTCCCTGAGGGCCCAAGGTCAAAGATAGGTAGAGGAAAGATGGGAGGTTCTAGTAAAGGTATGCAGGTCAGTTCCACTGCCTACAGGAAGGTAAGCCACCTTCCTCAGGCCTGCTAGGCCCTTCAGGGCTCTCTGCTCCCCTCCTGCATTGTCCAGGGAGACTACTGGCCCTGCTAGGGTTAGAGGCCCTAAGAGGCCTGAGGAAGGTGGCCAGATTTTCCCCCTTTTCATCAGCCTCCAAATGGGAAGTCAACCCCATGGCCTCACTGCCCACTGGGCCAGGGCAGAAAGGCATCAGATGTCATTTTGGTCATCATGGGTCCCCTCTGTATCCCAGGAGCTGACATTACAGATGAACCTGCTAGAACTCATTCGGAAGTTACAGCAGAGGGGCTGCCAGTCTGTGAAGACAATCCTATGACCAAGTGGGGTCCCTGCTGGCCACATCTGCCCAGCATGGTTGGGAATGCAGTTGTGTCCACTGTCACCAGAAAGCTGGACAGTTTGTCTTCCTGATGTTTGGCCACTGACTCAGCTGCCAGCAGACATTAACCTTCTGTGGAGAGGCTGGGTGACTGTGACTCCATCTATTACCCACCACTGTCTGGGGTTTTGGTCCAAGCACTGAGATGGTGTCACAAAGAGGGAAGCCCAGCCCATGCATTGTCTGTCCCAGGATCAGGTAGAGATGGGACTAGCACCTTCCCACTAGGTGGGCACATCTTGACCTCTCTGGATCTCTGGCTTTGTCCTTACTTTTGTCTTGCCCTCTCCCTCAATAGCTACTGCCCCCAAGTAGCTCTGAGGCCCAGGCCCTGTATGACTCAGAGAAATAAAAATACCTACATGTGGCTTACATGTTGTGGTTTCTGCCACAACCAGAGCTCATGTAGGACCCTTTCCGAGCAGCTGTGACCCTGCTGGAGCCAGCAGAAAGCAGCTCTTGCCTGAGGCAGCACCATGTGGAAGAGGCTTCATTGAAGGCTCCCTTCCTCCTGGGCTGCCCAGCACCACCCCTTCTTCACCTGTACAGGGTCTGCCCACCTCCTGCCTTTCCCTGCCCCAGCCCTGGTCCCAGGCTCTGTCAGTGCTATGCCTGGACAGCCTGTCCCCCCACAAATCTCAGGACACAAGGACCATCCCCAGGCTACTCTGTGTGGGACTGGAGAACGTGGGTAGAGATGCACATGCAAGGGGGTATGGGCCCACAGGTCTGCTGAGGGGACTGTCATGGCAGTCAGAACCTGGGAAGGGGGCTGGGCAGTAAAGGACACAGTGACAGAAAGCAGATTGCCTAGGCCCTTCTGCATGTTGTCTGCACTGTTCAGTGCCCTTGGATCCAATGTCCTACAGCCAGTCAGAGGTGTTGTCTGTCCACCCCGCCAGCCTGGATTTCCAGCATGAAGGTGAGGCTTCTCCTCTCTGCTGCCCGGAACTGATTTCATGTGAGGGCATGTAGTGGAGTTGAGGGCACGCACCTTCAGAACAGCGATTTATTGATCAAGCAGCTTTCTACCTGGACCACTACCCACTGTAAGGCGCGTGTGTGTGTCCTTGGCAAAAGGTAGTTCAGTCCAGCAGCAGCACAGAGGCCTCTTATGTGCTCACTGAGAACTCTACAGACAGTTCCTGTGTGCCTGCATTCTGGCAGGGCAGGCCTGGTGTCGAGGGACCAAGGGCAGGAAACCCCAACACCAGTGGCTCTCAAGTTTCAGGTGTAAAATGTGAATCCTATGATGTTGGAGCTGGACTGAGGCTGTTGTGATGGTGTGGGCAGCACCTACAGTCCCCCTAGAATCCCTTCCCTGCCCTGCACCCAGGAAGGCCACAGATTATGCAGTTGAGGTGGGGCAGGCTGGATACTGACGGAGGCTGCCTGTGCGGATCCGCCGCCACAGCTCCTGCCACAGCAGCCGCCGCTCTTGCTGGGCACCCTTCATGATGCCGCTGTTCTCCAGGGCACGGCGGGATAGGTAGGGCAGCACCTCCATCACTGGGCCGTAAGGCACGTACTTGTACACAGGGAAGCCAGCCTGGCCTACACACATAGCAGATGCAACCTTAAGTCCCGGTCCCCTCAGGGTGATCTCCACCTGACCCACCCAGGGAAGTCAGGCTCACCCAGCGGGAAGCTGATTTGGTCACACATGCCCAGCAGCTGTCCAAAGTACACCTGGTGGTCAGCAGGATGCAAGCCCAGTTTGTCCATCCTGTAAGCAGGTGAGGTCAGGCATGTGAGGGGTGGGCCCTAAGACACTGTCCTAAGAGCAGTAGAGGGTCCCCGTCTTAGCTCAGAGTACTCCTGTTTCCCCAGCCCTCAGCCCCTACCCTACAGCCTCTGTCCCCTGCTGGGGACAAATGTGTGGGCTTTGCCCTCCCCCACAGCTCTGTTCCCAGCAGAACTTGCCTGGGCTGCCCTGCTGCTCCTGGCCGAAGACTTTCCTGGGTAGGCCTTGGCCCACGGCCAGCACAGCTCCTCCTCCCTTCCCCTCTTCCTTGCACTGGCTCTCACTCCCCTTCTCCACTTCCTTCCAGACCCCACAGGGCCTGCTCCTGGCTCTCTCATGCATCCCTCTGGGATTTTGCTTTAGTGATTGATCTGCTGGCAGCCCACCCCCTTGTCCTCCCCTTGCTGGCTGCCCCTCTGCCCCATCTGTACAGCTGCCTAGTTCTATAAGCAGCCACCAGCTTGCTGAGTCCTTTGATTGCAGATGTGTAGTGTCAAATAGAGTCTGCCAAAAAGATGTATGCGCACTTCAGGAAAAGAAAAAATAGTATGATGTTTTTCAAACAGATGGTGTTACCCTCAAAAGATAGGGAACTCTAGAGGATGTATCGTGTATCACAGAAAATCCACTATTCTCCTGGTCTTTAGAGAAGAAACTGGAAATACATGGACAGCAATTTCAGTGACCAGGGTTACCCAAGCAGCAGTCTTCTGTACTAACAAATTTCTGGACGCTAATTGGTGCCACTTTGAGCATCTCTTATAAGAGCAGAAGCCAAAGGTAACTTGTATGAATCTCATGATGTCTATAAATTTAGTATTAAAATATTTATACAAGTTTTTCTTTTCCTGAAAGCGTGTATACATTTTTGGTAGATTCTATATGGACTACATGTAGATGTTGGAGACTTAGTAGGAGAAAATAATGGAAAATTAACTTGTATGTGTGTGGTGCAGGCAGAGAGCACTGAACCCAGGATGTTGTGCATGCTAAGCTACATCCTGGGACTTGTAATGTATTATTAAAGTTAACTTCATCTTTTTAAAATTTGGCTACCAGAGAATTTTGATTGTATCTGGGACTCCTACATTTTTCTTAGGACTGCTCAGATGTTGGGGTGGTGATTTCCAACTGTCTAGCCTCCTGTTTTCATACCACTCCTTACAGGGTGTTACCAAACTTCAGTGTTTCAAGTATCTATGTGTTGAAGTTGCCCACATTTTCATCTCTAGCTTCCTGAATCCAGGTATCTGGGCTTTGCCCATCCACCCCAGCACACTAGCGAGCCTATGCACCCCCACCCCCGCCAACCTCAGGGTACGGTCAGCATGGGCTTCCTCATACCTGCTAAAGCTACTGGCCAGGACTCTGCTTCCTCCCTCCCCCATCCTGTCCTCACCACCATGTCGAGGCCCCCAGCCCTGCTCCAGGCTCCCTAGAACACCCAGGAACTCTGCAGGAGAGCGTCCCCTCCTTCGCCACTTCACTCCAGTATCTTAGTCTCAGGTTACAGGGCTGCAGACCCCTCACTTGCCTTTGCCATGTGACTGACAGGGTACACAAGGGGTGCCCTGTGATCTCAGGCTTTGAAAGAGCACCATCTTGAACATAGGAAGAGTATCAATGGCACTGAATGAATGTAGAATTATTGATTGCTGTCCAAGAAACACTGGAAAGCACCCCGTCCCCTGCCAGGCCTCACGCTCTCCCTGTACCTCGGGGAAGCCTCACCTAGTGTCCAAGCATGGACCTGAAGAGGGGACTGCAGCCTGGCTCTTGGGAGGGTGAGGGCCAGCAAGGCTGCTGCTCAGGGCCCATCAAGCTTCCTGTGGGTCTGCGCTCCAGCATGGTGGGGGTGGGGACAGCAGGTGCTGTAGTCTCTAAGGTGTGAGACAGAACTACAGCGAGATACTGGGATGTTGAGGAATTTATCTCACCTTATTTCTGTATTTCACGTTTAGAATTCTACTAAAGTTTTGTTCCATGGGACAAGCATTTAAAGAGAAAACAGATTATATTAAATTCCAAATGCAGCAGTAGAAATGTTTTTTTTTAAATTTTATTTATTTATTTATTTATTTAGTGTGTGTGTGTGTGTGTGTGTGTGTGTGTGTGTGTGGCCAGCTCAGCCCACCAGGGGGCGGGCCTGGCTGGCATGTGGTGCTGGGGGATTGAACCGCGATCCCTGTGCTTTGCTTAGCTTAGCTTGTTCTAAGTAGGTGCTTTAGACCACTGAGCCATCCCACCAGCCCCAGAAATGTTAATGGAAACTATTTATAAGTGTGGTTTATAACTGTTTATAAACTAGAGAGGCCTCCCTAGGAAAACTGAGATTTAATATCATGTCTGGACATTTCAATGAGCTATTTTAACCACCTAACAAAATTTATATTTTTGAATTTGAGGCTTTAGTAAGTTGAATATTAATTTTTAAAATGAAGGTAACTGTAAGTAGCCTTGCGGCTTTCGGCTTATATCAAGAAAGCCAGCAAGGCGTGGTGTCCGTGGAACACTAAGGACTGGCAGTGCGCTCCATGGAGCTTGCCTATCAGAATGCCTAGCAGCATCTGGCAGGCCACTGTGCACTCCCTGAGCCCTAAGCCACTGCCAACTGTCCCCAGTCACAGAGAACCCCATAGCGTGGGGCAAGCAGCACCTACCTGTGTAGGGTGAAGCGTACTGTGTCCTCATTGTGAGAGGCCACCATGACCTTGGCCTTCGAGTTGTGCTTCAGCTCCTCCAGGACGTAGTTGAGGCACCTGGAGAGAGCACCACTGAGCCATCCAGCAGGCTGGGCCCTCCCACAGTGTCAGGGGAGTGAACAGCACTTGGCACAGTCAGTGTCTTGTGCAGGAGGATCAGAACTAAGAAGTGGGGATCCAACAGTTCACAGAGCACTAGCAGGGACACGCTGTCCCCATAAATGCTGTCACTCCACATGATGGGGGTGGGGGCCTGCCTGGACCTGCTGCCTTGTCTCTGGGAACTCCATAGTGCCCTCCTTGTCCTTCAAGGAAATGAAGTGGATTCCTGGAGGTCCCGAGGGTGGACGTCCATCCAGTAAGGGCAGCTGTCACACTGCCAGTGCACATTCTCTGCCCTGGCAGTCCCGTTTCTAAGGCTGTGTGCAATGGCTGTGTCTTTTGTGTACAGCAACTAAGGACAGGATGGTCAGTGAATCCCTGCTGCTATAACCACACTATCATAGCATCTCCACACAAAACCTGGGCGCCCCCTGCTGGCTGACAGCACTGAGGCGCTCTACGCTGACAGGAGAATCCTGATGTGGAATTAAATGAAAAAAGCAAGAGAAAAGGCAAAATGTACAATGTACAGATGGGGCAGACATGTGGCAGGGGACAGATGTGCACAGTGGCTTCTGGATGTGGGTGTGGCCAGGAAGGGAGCTGGTGCCTGCAACAAGACACTCAGCGTCCCTTTTCAGTTTGCAACAAGCACACACAAAGATCCTCCAAATCAGCAAAAAACAAACAGCAAAGGCACAACCACTGAGGATCTGCCACTGTGTGAACAGCAAAGCAAGCAGGTGGAGCCAGCCAAGCAGGGCCTCCTCTAGGTGGCACCACAAGCCAGCTGGAGAATCGAGGCCAGTTTTATTCAGCAGACTTTTCTTTCTTTTTTTTTTTTTAACGGAACTGGGGATTGAACTCAGACCCTTGCGCTTACCAGGCAAGCACTTAATTCTACTGAGCCATCTCCCCAGCCCTCAGCAGACTTTTCCACATCTAAAGAAAAAACTTTAATGTTTTTGAAAAGGTGATGCAAAAGCAGAGAATACAACTTAACACCCTCAGGATAGTGTCCGCTCCAGCTAGAGGCCTCGGGATCAGCACAGCATTAAGTGTTCCCGAGACCCTACTCCCCCACCCTGCCTCAGGAAACACAGAGATGCAGGAAGGCTGGCTCACCTGTGGTACATGGTGTTGGTGGCCTCATAAGTGGGGTTGATGGGGTCTTCGTAGCCAATCTCCAAGGCACGGGCACGCTCCTGGGCCATGTATGCGCCACGTACCAACTTGGCCCCAAAACACCAGCCTTCCCGGCGAGCCAGTTCCACATCCAGGGTCACATTGTCATAGGCATCCTGTGGGGCCAAGGCCAAGTCACAGGAAGCCAGGACAGGGACTTGCTATGCTCAGGTATTCCCGAGTATGTCAGCTTGGGGCACTGGGCCAGGCAGTGGCTGCCTGAGGGAGATACCACTCAGGATGTGAGAGATGTGTGGATAAGGATGGGCCTCTGACCCTCTGACCTCTGTCCCAGTGAGGGGCGACAGTGGTGCCATCCTTAGCCTCTCTTGTGTGGCCTGGGGATAGCCCTGTGGAGGTTAACCCAGGTGCCAAGCATCGCTGGGTCTTGGCTGACTGGGAGCAGGGTGCATGCAAGGGACACTTGCTGGACTCCTCCCTATACCACCCATGGCCTCTGAGTGCCTGGCTTGGCCCCTCAAGCTCTGGTGCCCAGCAACTTAGCAGCCTCCGGCTGAAGGCTAGGTTTGGAGGGCCTACCCTGAAGCACTGCTGGGCTTCTTGAGTATTATACATGCCAATTCTGGGTAAATATTTTTCTGTTGAGGAGCCCAATGCTTTCATAAGATTCTTAAGAGGATCCTGGACTAAAAATGAACAGAAAAATAGCCATCCATGAAAGCTTCAGTTTTGGGAATTTATGGCACATGAGGTAGGTTCATTGTCTTTCTCCTACCCTCAGTCTTTTTTTTGGCAGAACTGGGGATTGAACTTAGGCTCTTGCACTTGCCAGAGAAGTGCTTATTCCACGGAGCCATCTCTCTGGCCCCCCTACCCTCAGTCTTGTCTGGGTCCCAAGGCCCAGAAGAGGGGCTGGCAATGGGATTTCTGGGAGACCCTGCCTTCTACTCTGAGACAAGGACTCTGGCTGTAGTCTCCTCACAGGGCTAGCCATTTATTTCTGGGCAGTACTGGCCAGCCTAGGATGGGCTTTGCTGTACAGGACCTGATCAACCTCTCAGGAACATTGCCTGCTTCCTCCTTGGTCCTGCAGGGCCCAGCCTCTGCTCAGAGCAAGGGCTGGCAAATGCTTCAGGCTCAGAAAAAAAGTACCCCTCCTGTAGGTTGCCTGGACATGCTGCTCACAAGAGGGACTGCAGGCCAGCCCTGGAAGAAGGTGGTAGTGGAGGCTGATACCTTGAGGTAGCACTGGTAGGTGTTGAAAATCAGTGGCTTCTCCACATTGAACTTGCGCTGCATTTCTAGTGTTAGGCGGCTGATGGCTGGCTGGAAGTAGGTCTGCTCAGCATCTACCATCAGCCGCACACCTACCTCCATGGCTTTCTGAAAGGTACAGGGGGCAACAGAGTTTAGAGCTCAAGTGTAACAGATGCCTTCCCTTGGCTCAAGCCCCAGGGTCTTTGATACCCCCACCTGGACCCCACATGGGATGCCTCACACCTTGGCCAGCACATCCATCCTCTGTAGCATCCGTGTCATCTGCAGCTCCTCCTCCTCAGTAAACTGTGACAGCAGTGGCTCTAGCTGTCCTGTCTGAGACCCGGATCATACCTCTTAGCAGGGCAGAAGGGCCAGCTGGGCCTGCCAGGGAGGCTGCCCCTCCCTGCTTTTCCCCTGCACATAGGAAGGTCAGTGCTTCATCCCAGGCTAGCAAACACAGTGACAGCACCCACCCCCTCATGGCAGCCAGTCTACTGTCCTGCATGTCCTGTCAGTCTGCTGTTCTGACAGCATCAGAATGGCACCTAGTGCCTGTGCCGGCCAGCTGCACTCCCAAGGGATTTGCTTCCACAGTCCTCAGAGGGTCCTACAGTTGGGGGATTCCCTTCACCCCTGAACAAGGCAGAGGAAGTGAACTCTGACCCTCCAGTCAACTGGAAAGGCTCAGCTAGCAACAGGGAGAGGGTTGTAGAGGAAAACCTATGGCTACAGGCAAACATGACATCCAAGGAAACACACTTAACCGGCAGCAAGGGACTAAAATGGTGGCCCTCAAGGGGTCAGACAGGTAATCAATGGGTTGGTGACTGGAGGTGACAGGAATTTTCCTGAGGGCTCATGCAGGGTTTTCCACTCCTTTGCCAGGGTGCTCTTGGGGAGAGTATGTCCCAGTTTTACCCACTGGACAAACATTGCTTTATTCTTGGCCAAGTGTGGTTAAGTCTCTACCAGTCAGTGGCCTTGGAATAAAGCTGCACTCACTGCCACCCTCGAGGCCCTAAGGCAGTGGCTCAGAGCTTAAGGTTAGGCCCTCGGTGGGCTGGGGCTGGAAGTGTGAAGAAGCATCTGCAGGCTTTTTCCCCAGTGGCTTCTGTTCCCCCGTCAAGCCCCAGTATAGGTGGGGTCAAGCAGTCTCATCCTCTCCCCTAATGCTGGCTAGCCTAGCAGTGTGGCAATTGACTTCTGAGGTTAAGCTGGAAAAGATAAAATTATTGTGTCCAGGCTTCATGTAGGGATGAGAACTGTTGGAGGCCACGTGCCATGCTGGGAGGAAGCCCAGCAGAGAGCTGGAAACCACCTCTAGACCTCCGTGGTGATGTGGCCCTGCACTCTCTCAGTACCAGTCCACAGGAGACTCCAAAAGAGAGCCCTGCTGCTCTGTCAGCCCACAAACATGAGGGGATAAAATGCTGTCATTTCTGGTCACAAAAGTTTAGGGGGACCCAACACACAATGTTAGATGGTTTAGAAAAGACCTCTCCAGACATCCTCTCTAGATAGTGCCTTAAGGCTCCACATTGGTCTTTGTCACACTGAACACCACGGACACTAGTAGGTTTGTCTTCTTCCCCCCACCCTGCGAGTGCTGTCTCAGTCACACTGCATCCCAGGATGGGCAGCAGGAGACACGCATGGGGAGCTGAATTCCATGTTGGGCTGTGTGCCTTCTGAGCTGGGGCCCAGGATAGGGACTGTTACCTGCATGTTGGGGACCACCAGGTGCCTGGAGAGCCGGGTCCTGCTGTTGATGAGGCTGCTCCAGTCCAGGAGGTCCACAGTACTGTGGGAGAGGGTGCATCAGCAGAGGAGGTGCATACAGCTCAGCCCTGTCACACAGCTTTACCCATGGCACTAGGGTCATTTGGGGGTCCTGAGCCCAAACCAGCTCGTACCCTTAAAGAGCACCCCCAAACCAAGCCACCACAAACCCCACCTACAGTTCTAGATTAGAAAACATATTGTTCTTCACTTAAAAAATTAAGGGCTGGGGATGTAACTCAGCGCTGGAGCACCTGCCTGGCAAACAAAGTCAGAACCAAAACATGCATATTCCTGCATTGGGGTAGTAATTAAAGAAACACAATGCATGCACAGGGATGCCAAGGCTAAGGCAGGCTCAGGGAAGAACTAAAGGCAGGCAGACAAGATGCCCTGAGCTGCCTCCCAGACTAGACTGATGACCTAAGTCCCAGTCCCTGAGGTTAGGGCATGGGGCTCAGAGAGGACTGGGTGATATTCTCACTCTGTGACCCAGGAAATTCTGTAGAAAGCTTTGCGTTTGCACTGCCCAGCCATGGCCTCCTGTCAGCACCTGCTCAGTGTCTCACAAGAGTGGTCCCTTCAGCACTGTCACCCTAGAGGCCGCTCTCTTAAGAAAGCAACTGCAACTGGGAGAAGCTGCTGGGGCTTAGCTGGAGTCATGGCCATAGCAAGTGAGAGGATCCCCCTCTGAAGCCAGGGACAGTTCTTACCCAGACACTCCCAGGGTCTCTGGTGTGAACCAGTCTTCTATCTCAGCCCTGGATGCTATGCCCATCTTGACAACACTTTCCTTGAGAAGAAGGCAGAGTCAGTGCTGGTGTCTCCCAGCCTCACACACTGTCTTAACACAGCCCTCACTGGTCTGTGGTGCCATCTGACAGGGCCTATTGTAGGCTTGTGCTTCTGCTCTGTAGATAAGTCCACTCCCTCTGGTCTACTGGTGACTTTCCTACCCCGCAGCTCCCCAACACTGCCACCTGCAGGGCCAGCTCCCCTGCCCTCCTGCTGGGGAATCCAGAGTCCTTCCTGTGGCAGTCTTTCTTTTCCTACCCCTTCCTCCCCAGCCCACCCTAGCAGCACAGCTCCAGCATCAGACTCTTCCCCAGGCCTTTTAGTTCCCACCCCTCACCCTGTAGGGAAGGGGAAGAGCAGCCCAACCTGCAGTGCTGCCACTTCTAGCTTTGTATCCATGGCAGCGCGCCCGGCCTGCCCTTGCTCTGCAGCCATGTGGTGAAAGAACCGTCTCCACTTCATCAGCACATCTGAGAACTGCAGCTGTAAAAACAATTCTGAGCCATACCATCTGCAGTGCATTCCTGACTCCTCAGCCCTGTGTAGCCTCTGGGACTGAGGACAGGGATACACTACAGCCTATCTCACCCTGTGGAATAAGTTTACCACCTCCTAGTAACCTCCTAGTTACCAAATCTCAGCCTAGTTACGGCCATGTCTGCTGGCTTCTAATAACCACAGTAATCCTGAGGTCCTGGACTGCAAATAGAAGTTTCTGCACTTACCAGAAACTGGGGTCTCCCCAGTGCAGTAAGCTTAATGGCTGAGAAGCCGTCATTGCTGGCTCCACCTGTTAGAAGCCAAAGGAAGAGCTATGTGGGTTCCCGAAAAGAGAGATGCCAGGATGGGTGAGGGAGGACGAGGAGCCTATGCTGGTACTGGCCTTGCAGCGGAGTCCCTAGCCATAGTGCTATCCTGACCCCCAAATACCCCTGTATGCCTCAGACCCCACCACGGAGGTGGTGAAGTGTAACTCACTAAGTGTGTGCATGCCACACAGTGCTGGAAGGCAGCAGGCAACGGAGCCAAGGAGGCTGCTTGCTACCCTGGCTGCCTGGCATTCCCTGCCTCAGTTTCCACCATCAACAGGCTATCCCTGTATGAGTCACAGGACACAGGAACACTAGTGGAGCAAAGGCCAGAGCACACAGGGTGCTCATCGCTGTTTCTGCTTGGCTTTGATTCCCAGGGAGTGGCCACGGAGACAGCTTTCACCAACATGGCAGGGCACTGGCGTGACTGCTGGGGGCCCACAATCCATCAGACAGTGCTTCCCAGGTTCACTCGCTCTGATCTGAAACTGTTCAGAAGGCAGGAACTGTTGGCACTCACTGACAGCAAGGAGCCATGTGGCCTGGGAACTGTGCTGACACTTGGGATCAATAACTCCAAGGTTTAACTTGCCTCCCTCTTCCTCCTAGAGCCCCAAAGGGGCTCCCTGTTACAGAGGATGTGGACTCCCGGAGGGCAGCAATGGTTCAGCCCACTGATGCCGACTCCCTCTGGAGTTCCATTTCTGGGCACCATGCCCCAAGAGGCAGGATGAGGGCAGGGCAGCACGGGTCTGGACATGGCACAACAGGAGCGTGACCCAGGCTCAGCCCCAGCTCTGGTGCCCACCTTCTTTACCAACTGAATCTCAGAGACCACCTGTTCCTCAGCAAGTATATAGCCAGCTGGGGGGCCCTACCTGAAGCTTCAATGCAGCGCAGGAAGGTCTCCATGTGGCTGTCACACTTGGCTTCATTGGCGTAAAAGTAGGTGCGGGCACTGATGACACCATCCCTGCGGTCTCCAAAGGCACGATGGGCTTGATACTGCTTTTCCCTCTTACTGGTCCCTGGAAAGGCCACGGCCCAGCACAGACACATGCTCCCATCAGTCCTCTTGCAGCACACACAGGCTGCATTCCAGGCCACACCGCCCTCAGCAAAGCTCCACCTGGAGTCCTGTACACCACAACTCCCTCGCTCTCCTCAGCTCAGTCACACATGTGCCCCTGCCTTGCTGGTCCACCATCTGGAGTGCATGTTCCCCTAGCACCCTCAGCACAGGGCAAGCCAGGCCAGGAAGGCCAAGGCTCCAGCACAAAGGCTTTATCACCTGCTAAAGGCCAAGGGGATGAGTACTGTGAGGCCTGTGAGAAATGAGTACGTATCTGAGAGCACACAGAGCCAGACCAAGCACTCTGGCCACAGGGAATGGTGTGGGTCACTGTTCTCTACCCTAGGAGTTTCTTAGGCCAAGAACCAGGAAGTCTTCCAGGTTACCATTGTACATGGGCATGGGAGAGCACCTGCCTCTTACCCCTGCCATCTCGCTCTGCTGCAGAAGTGCAGGACCTGCAGGGAAGAGAAAGAGGCAAAGATCAGGGCCATACCACCTGGGCAACAGCTGATAAGAGGCACAGAGAGACAGCCAGATAAGACTGAGCTATGGACCTTCCCATGAACACAATAGGGCTGGCTCTAAGACACAGCTCAACCAGAGGTTGGCCCAGGCAGGCCCAGCATAACCACCTGAGCCAGGGAGGGGGAGAAGCTTAGGGGCTGTGGAACTCCATGTCAAGAACCTCCAGTTTTTTATGGGTGGAGCCCTTCCCTACTAGCAAAAAGTAATTAAAACTATTGGCTTGGATTCCCAGATCATCCCAGGGCATGCAGCTCCTTGAAAATAGCTAGTGAGAAGGGTACTGCTTTTTCCCAGGAAAGGCAGGAACACAGAGCCACATAGGGCCAAGAAGAATGGAGGCTGGAAGCCTCCCTGCATGTAAAATTCCTCAAATTCAATAGTGGGGCTCCCTTGCTCTGGCCTCCCTCAACTTGTCCAAAGTCTCCAGGCTTCTCTGAGGACCACAACTCATGTTGAGCTCTGGGCTCTGGCCTCCCTGCACTCTCTCAGCTGTCACTGTCTGACCTGTCCCTACCCCATGTCCAGTGGTCTCTCCTTTCTCCACTGTGCCCCCTCCTGATATCATCCCCCCCCACCAGTGCCAGGTTCCCTGCTAGACCACAGCAAATGCCATCCTCCTCCTCCTCCTCCTCCTCCTCCGAATAGTAACCAGCTTCCTGGTGCTCAGGTCCAAGGCTGTGCCATGTGGGTCAGCACATGGTTGGCTGTATGAATCGGGGACATTCACCCTGGCCCTACCCTTTTGGGCCCAGGCTGGCTTTGGCTATTATCAGACTTTGCAACATTACATCAATTGCCTCAGACAGAAAGCTCAGTCTTGTGACTAGTAGTCTTGTGGCCTCCAGAGCCTAAAGCCCTACCCATGACCCGCAGGAAAGATGGCACTTTTTCCCTTACTGGGCAAAGGTAGAATTAGAGATGTACCTTCACAGGGCTGATGCATCAAGGGGCCTCATCAGTGGTGACTTCTGAATTTACTGCTCAGGGAACAAGACCTGGGCCACTAAACCACATGCCAGGAATTCTTCCCCTCAGCCTCACTCCATTCCTAGGGCCCTTATCTGGGGACTTTGAGCCAGACCATGCAGATTAGGACCCAGAAGTTATAGCGGGGCCAGGCTCTTAGGGGAGCCTCAGACTCCCCACATGGCACCCTAGCTCACAAGGTCTCAGCCCAGAGACAAGCTGGGCAGGCAGCTAATGCTCCAGCCACCTTGTGGTGACAAGATACAATAACAGAAGAGAAGAGGGATAAATCACCATACAATGTTATGATTGTAAGGAGCAGGCTGGCTCATTACAAGGAACCCCCCCTTGGTCCCTTCCTAAGGCCCCGATACAGATTTCAGCAAGCCCTGTTTTAGGGATAGCTCATTCCTTTAAGCAGAGGCACGGGTACAACCAAAAGTCCTCACAGCAAAGAAGGACAGACTCGACCTAAGGTTTGAATAAGCTGTAATGGGAAGATTCAGTTCTATACCCACAAAGTCCGGATAACACGTGCTTTCACCTGCAAACACCACTACTGGGCCTGGCGCCCATCTTTTCTGTGCTTCCTTCAGTCAGGCCAGGGACTACTCTATGGCCTTTAATTCAGAATGGTGACCTCTGCAAGAATAAACCTGTGGGCCTTGTGCCAGGAAGATGGGCTAGGAGGAAGACAGATCTCCAGGCTCCCACCATGGATGCTGAAGCAGTTCCCCACACAGAAGTCTGTGGGACTGGTCACTGTTGCCAGGGATGCAGGGAGGGCCCTGCAGCTGTCAGTGTGGACACTGGGCGGCACCTGCAGGCTCAGCTCCCCATAGGTGTCTGGGCCCCTCTTAAAGGAAGAGCTGTCAGCCAAGCTGGGCATCCACCCTTACCACTGGCTTCTGGTACTGGCTACTGGTCACTTTGTAAGTCTGGAAGGGACCCCCACTTATGTCCCTGAGCCTGAGTGGGGCTCCTGGAGGATAAGCAGCCACCAACAGCACAGTGGAGGAATACCTTTGCAGGGCAAAGTGGGCCCCTGCTGGTGGCGGGGGGTGGGGGCAGGTGAGGCACACTCACAAGGCACACTCACACCCACCTCCAAAGGCTCAGTTGCAGTGCAGGAAGTCAGGCTGCCCTAAGAAAGGAGCCTTTTCCTATCAAAGGTGTCCTAAAAGGAACTGCCACTGTGAAACTTCAGTCTTCCCCAAGCCTAGGCCAATGTCACACAGCATGTTAGTTATTCACAAAAGCCTTGTAAAAGCTGAAGCCTGGCAATGAGCCACACAAGGGTGCTGCCAGTGAGTACCCCACCTTCAAAACAGCCAATGGTCAGGCAGGGGCTGGGTTCTCGGGGCCAATCAGCCTTTGGCCAGCTGGCTTGCTGAGACAAGCTTGGACATTCTGTTCTCAGGCTGGAGGCCTCATGTGACTGCCTTTCCCTACCCAGCTTGCTGCAGACCTGGTGGGAGGGCCGAGGTGGGAGAGATAAAGGGGGCAAACAAATACAGCCCTGATCGGGTCCAAAGCAGGCCTGTCCCAAGCTTCAAGTGGGTTAGCACAGCTCCATGTGAGGGCCTGCCCTGAGGGCCAAAAGCACCAGCACTTTGCAAAGAAAGGGCTGGGCTTGCTGGGACCTCCAGTGAGTCAACCACTTCAGGGCAACTGTTCCAAGAGGGAAGATCAGCAGAATCTGTCTCACACTCACTTCCCAGGTGGTGGCCTTGAAGCCAGTCAGTGCTGTGGGAGGCTGGCCACTACAATTCACTACATTCCCTCCACTTTGGAGGCCTAGGCCTGGGCAGCTCCATACCCTCCAGGCAGAGCTACTACAGATTAGGAAACTATTTCTGTGGGCTGAAGCCAGACAGTCTAGGGTGCTGGGACCTACTCAGCCAGTCAGAAGTCCCTGGGAAGGGAGACTGTAACAGCAGGAAGCCAGAGTAGTCTCCTGCACCAAAGCCAGGAAGTACCCAGCCAAGTAGGACATATCCTCAGCCCTGGAGGCTATGCATTTCCACAACTCTGGCCTTGAGGGGAAAAGCAATTTGAATTTCATATAATTTTTGTATGCCACAAAACAGAATTCTTGTTTTGATTTTTTTTCAACCATTTAAAAATGTAGCCAGGGCCAGGGAGATAGCTCAGTGGCTTAAGTCCCTGCCTGGCAAGTGCAAGGTCCTGAGTTTGATCCCTGGTACGAAAACAATAAAAATAAAAATGCAGCTAGGAATGATGGTGTGTACTGGTAATCCCAGCACTCTGGGAGGCTGAGGCAGGACTGCAAGTATGAGCTCAATTTGGGCAACTCAGCAACTTAGCAAGACACTATCTCAAAAACAAAACCAAGCAAACAAAAAAAGGTGGGGGGGCTTAGAATGTAACTGTGAAGTCCCTTAGTTCATTCCCCAAAACCACAAAATAAATTAAACAAATACCAGGCAAAATCCATTCTTAGCTTGAAAACTGTATACAACCAGATGGGTGTCTGGGTAGTCAAAGGCCATGGTTTGCAGACTGCTGCCCTCCCTGTCTCCTCTGGACTCATACACATACCAAGCTTTCCATGAAAGCCCAGACTATTATTTGCACAAAGCAAAAATGCAAGACCTCCAGGCAGAAGCCCAGAGGACCCCCAGTAATCAGGCCAATGGCTGTCTTAGCCTTGGCCTCCACCTAGCCCTGCAATGGGACATGGCCCCCATCAGCCCTGGTGCACTTGGGGGTCACCACCAGACATCTGTGCAGCTGTGGACTGACAGGCCTTACTCCATCTCCTTGCACTCTGCCTCCTCAGGGCTCAGATCTTCTTCCACTCCGTAGTCCAGGATGGAGCCAACACCAAAGGCCTTGTTGTGCTGGATCAGGGGTCGGATGGACTCCTGGTTCTCACCAGCCACAAACTGCCCATAGAAAGTCATCTTCATCAGCTTATCAAACAGTCTCTGCCCCATTAATTTCCTGGCAATGTGCAGCAGCTGAAAGGCAAAGGGAAGAAACCGTTTTGACTCCCATCCTCCTCTTCTCCAGGAACCCTGCTTCTACCTCCCTACATTTTTTACTGTAGCCAGAGCTTCCACATGGTCTCCAGGGAAGACCACCTGAGGCAGCACAGAGCTAGTCCTTATCCAGGACAGAATGGCAGGACCAAGGTGCTACCTTTTGGCCCTCCACTCACTGATCTCTCTGCAGCTGCGAGCACACTTTCTATGCGGACTTCCTGCCAGGGGGCAAGCGCACAGGTCACCCCAGGGCACACAAGGTGTCTGACCACAGTTTGAAGGGTACAGAGAAGCACAGTCAGACTCCCGAGGTCATCAGTAAAGGTTTTCATAATATTTTCCATATTCATACCTCTGCAGCTTTGTCAGAGGGGAGAAAGATCTGGGACAACTTTCTAGAATGTGAGTGCCCAGATTTCTCAATGTTTTGTTCACTCTTATTCTAAGTCCCCAAAACAGGTTCTGGCATGGGCCAGTCCTCAAACAGATGCAGAATGACAAATGCATACAAAACTCAGGCTGAACCCATGCTCAGCTGGAATGAGGAATACTCTGGCAATACACCAAGTGATGGCCTACAAGGTTCTGTGAGAAAACAGCCCATCCTAGGTCCAGGGGTTCTTGTCTCCAGTAGACATACTCAAGGAAGGCAGCTGCCCAGAAAATGGCTTCTGGTTTTCCTTCAATTACACCTAACCTCATCTTGAATTTTTGCCATCCTTTCAAATGTCCCAAGCCACTATGTGCCAGGCACAGTTCTAAGAAAAGAGAAACTAATGAAGAAAACAGAAACCACTGACACTCTCGGGGAGGGAAATCCCAAAGGATAGGTGCAAGGTCACTCCACAGATGATCCAAATGGAGGAGACAAAGGCGGTGCCTATGGCCAGGAGAGAAGGTAGTTAAACCCCTAAGTTCAGAGAAGGGGAACTCAGCGAGGAAGGCTAGGTGACACAGAGAACAAGGGAAGCTCTGGGGTGGGGATGGGGGGTGGGGTGGGGTGTCAGGAAGGAGGAAATGGGGATAATCAGAGGCTCTTGGATGCTTAGAAACCAAGCACCCTCTGCATGAAGCCTGAGTGCCTCTCACCAGCTCAGCTCTAAGGCAGGAAGTGTCTGGGGCTTCTCAAGCCACATGGACAATGGAGCTACTCTTTTGTGGAGAGACCACCTGTAACCTAAACCAAAGCTTAGCAGGTCAAACACCTTCATTCCCAAACCAGTTCCTTTCTCTGGACTGTGCATGCACTGGCCATCCTCACAACCACACCCGTACCACGGCTGTACATACAGTCACTCTTGCCTTCCTGAAGCCTCTGTGCGCTAGGATTTTTCTGCATTTCATTCATTTATCAAGAGGATTAGAAACTGGAAAATGTGCCAAGAACAGACAGGGATGGACCTCTGAGTCTCACCAAGCCCACAGCCAGCTTTGATTGTTGCCAGAGCAGTACTCAGGGATGGCTGGGGAAAAAAAGACAGATCTTGCATAAATCAAACAGCACCCAAGTGACAGGTGGGGCAGACTCGAGGACCTGAAAATCCATACTGAGCTCTGGAAAGGAACCTCTGATGTCATCTACATCAACTGAGAGAACTATCAGGAGCACCATGAGAGAAGCTGGGTAATTACACATTTCCTTGTATGGGGCCACATGACCTCATCTAATTAGCTACTTAATGTTGCCACAGTAGCACCATTCAGTGGAGCAGGAGCAATGCTATGCTGGCTCTGGAAGTCCCACTTACACTGAGGGGTCCAGAGACAGGCTGTAAGCTCCTGCATATGCTACATGCTGACGCTCTGCTCTCCAGAAGGTGGGCTGGGGAACAGCTGCCTGAGTCCACCCCATGCCAGAAGGTGGCCTGCCACAGAGGGCTGTGGAGGTAATCTGGCAGAGATACTAACAGCTCTTTCCAGAGCCAGTGGCCCATTTAAAGCCACTTTGGTATCCCATGTGGTGTCACAATGGGGGTGGTACTGAGCCCAGGGCAGCCCCACCTTTTCTCCAGTAAAGGCATCCTTTGAGAATTTAGAGACTTGGCGCCAGTACCATGTCCATTTATTTTCACTGTAAAAGACTCCAACAAATGCACAAGAAGGAATAAGAGCTGGGTTGGTTCTCTCCTCACTGCCCACACTGTCATCCTCTGTCCTGTCACTCTTGCACCAGCTTACACTCAAGCATGGAAGTCCTGGACTTTTCTAAATTCTCTAAAAGACTGTTCTTAGGTATCCTCAATGAGTTCTGATATAAGATAGCAACCCTAAACTCAGCTCCTATACCTTAACATTCCTCGGAGCAGGTTTGACCTACAACCCTACAATCCCAACCTGAGTCCTCAGCAAGAGGAATTCTCCCAATGGCCAGGAGATAAGAGGAGTGTGGTAGGCAGCTGAATTAGAAATGTTATGGGCAGTCAGGTAGGAATAGGCCCTCAAGGAGACAGCATGGAAGAGAAGATAACCTTGCAACTATGAGGGAGATGGATGCACCCACTGTGGGCCAGACCTAAAGACAAAAGATCAAACAAATGCTGACCTCCCTAAAGATAAGCATCCAGGACTGATGAACACTTGAGGAAGCCAGAAGAGTAACTAATCCAACTACTACCGGCTACCAGATAAACACTCCTGTTCTATATTCGTGCCTGCTTGCTACATGATGCGCTTCCCCATTTGATCCTGGATTTAATCAATTTTACCTGAGCAATGGTGCTTGTAACCTTATTGGTTGAGCACAGTTTTGTCCCATCTCATGCCCACTTAATCCAGTTCCCATGTTCTCCACCTTAGACCCACCTCACTGCGTGGTGTTACTCTATAAAAATCCCTGGAAGAGACAGCATCCCAGGGCAACTTGCTCGAGTCCCCCTTCTGTCCCTCTTTCAAACAGGAGCTTTCTTTCCCCAACAAATATTCCCTTAAGCTCCATTTGTTCCTAAAATTCATTCTTCGGTTTTAGAGAACACAAACTCGTCCCAGGCACCTTTCAGGTCGGTTTCGTGCCCCTATATCAGGAGGGCTGTTATCTAGCCAGCTCACTAGACTGGGTTCTGGTGAGGAGCTCAAAGACCTGGCTTCTGCCCCTTTTCCTCCAGCATTAAGCGCTGACCCATTGATATCAGAAAGACCACTTACTGTTGGACTTTCGTAAGCTTTCCTGAGTCACTTTGAGGTTACGGTCATCTCTAATATTCCCAAGCTGGCTAAGGCCAAGGCTTTGTTCTGCTTTTTACTTCCTAAAGGATCTCACACTACTTACAATTGCCATGTTTGGTAATTGGTTGGTTGTATGGGCGGCTTCCCATTTTCCTAAACACCGTTCAGGGTGGCCTGCCTGGGGGAGCGGCACATCACGGCCAATGGAATTCCAGGATACCAGGCCAGAACCTCTTGATTACCCCCAGACTTCCCTTCAGAAACCATGAAAGATGATTCGAATTGCAGGTGATAACTTTGTATCCCTGCGAATAACGTATACCTCAAAATTAACCAATCTTTGTCCTTTAATTGGTATAACTGACAAGCCCATAAATTCAGGAGGTCGGAAAAGGAACGCAGGAAACGGCTTCCTTCCCGACGTGTCTCACTACAGAAGATGCACGAGTGCCTGCCGCCCTACACTCCCAAACTCCCCAGCCTGGTTCCTGGAACGACAGGCCCTGCGCAACCCGGCCCACCTGCCCGCCGCCCAGCCACCTGCGCGCCCACGCACCTGCTCGTGGCGCGCCAGCAGCGTGGGCGAGGCGCACAGGCGCAGCACCAACAGGTTGCGCGCCAGCTCCCAGCTACTCCGGCTGCGGTACGCCTCCTGCGCATTGCCGAAATCCACAGCGGGCACCGGCGGCCGCACCGTCTCAGCCGCCCCGCATCCGTGCTGGGCCCCGGAGCCCGTGGCGGGTCGCTCGCGGGCCACTGGTGCAGCGGAAAACGGCGCGAAGCCGGGCGTGCAGGGTGTGCGGAGACTCCATGAGAAAAGGACGCGGCTGAGAGCCATGGCTGAGGGTCAGGACATGCCAGGGAGGATTAAAGGGTAGATACCGGCCGGCCCATCCAGCGGCCCCGCCCCCTCAAGAAGTTTCCCCGCCCACGCCCCGCGCTCGGAGCGCGCCCTCTAGGTGGAGGCCCCTCCTGGCGCTCCGAGGTAGGTTCCGCCCGCCCGGCGAGCCCCTCCTCCGAGCGAGGCCTGCGCCGCGGGGTCTCGCGCTGCCATTCCTGTTTCTGCGTCTATCCAGCCGGGGCACCACCCGCCCCGAAGGAGACCCCGCATCTTTAGGAGCGGGGCTGAAGGCCATGTGTGTGGCTTGCTCGAGAGTTTCCCAGGTCCCCAAGCAGGGTGGGTGGCTCCAGAGCCTGCCGGTTAGCGCTACCCCTTCTATAGATCTGGGACCCCCTAGTGGTTGAACCGCGTGGACACACTGCTGAGGACCCTGGAAGGTGGTCCCCCTTGTCCTCTGTGTAGTTTACAAAGGGGCAGAAGGTGGATGGGAAGCCGTCCTCTCTTTCCTCTCACTGCCACCCTCCCATCGCCATGCAAGTGCGGGAAAGTGGCTTGCCTGGTGCTGTCCCGTTCCTGTCATCTATCCCACCACCATCACAGGAGGAAGCAGGGATGTTCATGCTCCCTCAGGATTCCTTCATCCCCACGTTGCCACCTTATCTCTGCTGACCCGGCCATGGAGCACTGAGCCACCTGCTTTGACCCCTTCGTTAGGCCTCCATCTACCCTGAAGGCCACACTGCCCCTTTGCCTGCTGTCCCTCCTCACATTTTGGAAGCAAGAAGCTGCAGCCACAGGTGTCACCTCCTACAGGGACTTGCCCTGATTGCCATAAGGCATTGTTCCTTATCACCTGCCCCTGGGCTTCTCTCTCTAAATATCCTGCTTCCCCACAGATCCTGGATGGCACCCATCCTTCTTGAATCTGGAGTGGGGTCATAGCAGTCTCTTTAGGACTATTCACATTTGGTGCCAATTCTGAGTGGTGAGGACCATCCTGAGCATTCCAGTATGTTTATCAGCCTCTCTAGGCTCTATGTAGCAGATGTCCAAAGTGCACACACACACACATAGTTGAGAGAGAAACATCTCTAGATTCTGCCAAATGCCCCTGAGGGACACTATCACCATCACTACCTCTCTTCCTCCTGATAGAATTAAAGAAAAAAGGCAGAAACAAAAGCAAATGATAAAGCTGAGTATGGTGGTACACCTCTGTAATCCCAGCACTTAGGAGGCTGAGGCAGAAAGATTGCTGAGAGTTTGAGACCAGCCTAGGGTACAAAGTGAACTCAAGGCCAGCCTGAACTGTACAGTGAGAACCTGTGTCAAAAAAAAAAAAAAAAAAAAAAAAAAAGCAACACATAAGCCTTAACTCAGAGGCAGGAGCTCAGGGGTCCCTCCAGCAGCTCAGAAACTTGGCTTCCAAGGAGCAGGCCAGCCTGGGCATTGGGCCATAGCCACCACAGTCTTCCCTACTTTCTTTACACAGTGATCATCCTTTCCTGGCAGCCTCTGCCCCCCCCCCCCCCATGTTCCTCTTGCTGCTTCTCTGAGCTCCAGGTTGTGGGCACGCCACTCTTGCAGTTGGCCCCTCACTCTTAGCCCTGGATTTTCTCTTCCTTCTTAAGCTCAGCTTGACAGGCTCTTCCCCCATATGCCCTCCTCAACACTTAGAGCAACCTGGGCACCTACTTGGCTGCAACTCTGTCTTCTTGCACTTGTTACTATGGCTGACTGCTGTATCCCAGCCACGTTTGCTGACACCTTGATTTATCCTTAAGGAAGGAAGATGATACGGGAAGTTTGATCCCATGGTCTAGGTCAGTATGAGGTGAACATGATAACCACTACACTATGGAAACTGTTGAATCAACCTCAGTAATGGTGAACCTTTCATAAGAGATTTCAGTGATATGAGCAGCCCACTGAACATGTATGCTGTAGGTTCACCACTCCTGGTCTAGGCTAACTGTGGATTCAACACTCAACCTCCAGGAGTCACCTGGACCACACCTGACCTTTGTCTAGCAGTCTGAGGGCCAAGGGGCCTGAGCTAGACAGGACCCTCTGCAGGCAGGCAGGACTTGGGCAGGGACCATTGGCTTTCTGATGGCTTTGCTTTTGCTTTCTCTACACACACACACACCCTTTGATGTCCTCTCTTCTGGTAGCCATGCCAAACCAGCTTGGGCTGCCTTCTCCAAGAGCATCTCTTCCTCATTAGCAGACCTGGAGCCCAGCTTCCTTCACCCAGGTACCCTGTGCCAGGAGAAGGAGCACAGTGTGGGTAGGTGCACATGCCAGTTAATGTTGGAGCCATGCTTGAGGAGGTAAGAGCTGACCTTGATCTTGCCTCTGACTCTCCCCAGAAGGGGCTGCATTGTACTAAACTCTTCTTCTATATGATCCTGCCCTACCCCAGAAACCCCACTCTAATGTACTATATTAGAGACAGGAAAGAAAGAGAGGATCATTTGGCCTCACCAGCTGTGTTACCACCCACTGCAGTATAAAGAGGAGGCTGACAACCATCCATCTCACACAAAGATTGAGCATGTAAAATCACGCCAGGTCAGCACACAGCCTCACATGGCCTCCCATGCACATTCAGGACAGCTCTGGCTAAGAGCTTAGACTTCTCCATTCCTGTTCAGTGTCTAAGCCAAAGTCTGGAACAATCCAGAGGGAACTATGGGGCAAAGCTCACAGACACAGTGGTCTTGGTCACACAGTGGCCATTGGTGGCACTCACACAAGCTCCAGCACCTCAGCCACCTGGGATGATCCCCAAAGTGTTCTCAGTCCTGCCTAATGCCAGTGGTAGAGTCACACTGGGTGTCTTGCCTCCTGTCTTACAATAAAACTTTCAAACTGTGACTTGTGACTCAAAAACAGTGTTCAAGAGGGACATGGCGGGGGGGGGGTTGTCCCTTAGCTCAGTTATTTAAGTGCCTGCTTAAACAAAGCGGTCAGGCTCAGGTTGCTGTGGTTCAATCCCCAGAACACAAGCCAGCCAAACCTGCCCTGACAGCATTCTGAGCCAGCAAGAAAAAAAAAAAAAAAAAAAAAAAAAAACCCTCAAGAGAGACACCAGGGAAGATGGCAGAGCAGGAAGCCCCAGAAACCTGACCCTCCTCTGGACAACAGTTGAACTGAAATGAACAGTCTTCTGCCAACTCAGGATCAAACACAATATTTGGGGGAAAAAGTGTTCTAACCACAAACACATTTTTAAAATATATTTAATAGCGGGTCTACAGGGTCTCACTACACAGAATGGACTTATAGTGATCCTCCTGTTTTCAGCCTCCCAAATACTGGGATTACAGGCATGTGCCACCACACCCAGTCTCAATTGCTGTCTCAGCATGCCCTGCCCCAGGGGCAAGGCCAGCCAGCACTGCAGGCCAGTGATCAAACCCTGACGGCCCCTGCATTTGCCTAAACAGGCACTTTAATCTACTGAGCTGTCTGGCCAGCCCAATAAACATATCTTTTTTTCTTGTCATGATTCCCTAAATAATGCAGTATAACAACTATTTACACAGCTCTGACATTGTATTAGTTCTCATAAGTAATCTGAAGGTGATATAAAATCTATGGGAGTATCTGCCCTGGTTATATGCAAATACTCTGTCACTTTATATAAGGGATTTAAGCATCCATAGATTCTTGTACCCCACAGGTACCAAGGGACAACTGTACTTTGGAACTCTAGAATCTAATAGACCACTTACAGCATCCAGGGTCCAGCTTGATGAAGAAGCTCTACAATTTTAGTCAATATTGGTCAATAGCTACTTTTACAGGACTAGTTATCATCCCCTGTCCCCCTGCCCAGCACAAGTAGCTATGGGGATGGTGGCTCTTATTTTGGGTTGATAGCAGCATTATTCACAATACTTGAAATATGTAAACAACTCAGATGCCTGTCAGTGAACAAATGGGTAAACAAAATGTGGTCCATCCATACAACCAAACATTATTCTGCCATAACAAGGGAATAAATGGATGAACCTTGAAGATATCATGGCAATGGATGAGCTTCAAAAATATTATGCCAAATGAAGAAGCCACCTGGTGTATGATTCCATATACAATATGGGAAGTGATAAGAATAAAAAATTCCACAGAGAAATTGCATAGATGCAAATCTATAGAGCAGATTGTTGCCTGCAAATGAGGGTCTGGGAGGAATGGAAGTGATGGCTAATGAGTGTGGAGTTTTTTCCAGGTAGGAGAATATTCTGGGACTAGATAGCAACAATGTTTGCCCAGTCTTGTGAATACAGTCATCCCCTCATCCCGGAGAACACTTGGTGAATACCAAAATTGGCAGGTGCTCAAATCCTCTATATGCACAGGATTTGCATACATCCTATCTTAGTTACTTTTCTCATCACCAAGACAAAATACCTGCCACCCCGAGTTAAAGGAGGAAAAGGTTATTTAGCTCATGGTTTGTAGAGGTTTCAGCCATAGTTGGCTGTCTCCAAGGCAGGGAGGCGTGCCAGAAGACAGTCAAGGAGAAACAGTTCATGGCAGGAAAAGGTCAGCAAAAGCAAGTGACCAGCGGCAAGTCACAGGCATGGCTCTTTCTTACTCAAATGTTTTTGGGTTGTTTTTTTTTTGTTTTTTGTTTTTTTTTTTTTTTTGCAGAACCGGGGGTTGAACTCAGGCCCTTGCACTTGCCAGGCAAGCACTTACTCTACTGAGCCATCTCCCTGGCCCGCTTACTCAAATCTTTAGTTGGTTGAATGCACAGATTTAGATCCATGGATCTGGAGGAATGGATGTACAATAAAAAGTGCTCAATTGTATCCTTGAAAATGAGAGAATTTTGTATGACATATCATTTGTATCTCAACAAAGCAATTCACTTTTTTTTTTTTTTTTGGTACCAGGAATTGAACTCAGAACCTTGTGTCAGTCATATAGGTGCTGTGCTGCTGAGCTATATCCCTGGCCCTAATTTTTTAAAGCAAAGGCTCAAACTAAGAAGCTGGATCTGCTATCTGCCAGGAACCCTTGGCCCCTGTAATGCCAGCTACCAACTCATTTCAGA